CCCCTATAAGATCATTGATTTTTCCGTTTTATCTGAATTACATGTTGTACGAGTCACTTAGATTTTACAAATACGTGTGCCGGGCTGTGAACGGCTCACATATTTGTAAAATCTAAGTGACTCGTACAACATGTAATTCAGATAAAACGGAAAAATCAATGATCTTATAGGGGGATCGACTGTATTTAGTATCCGAGGAACTTTAGTTTTAACGTTAAAATAGTTGGAAAATTTAAGTCTTTATAGGTTAGATTGTGTGTAAAATTTCAAATATTATTTTTTTCGTAATTTATAAAAACTCAATACTTTCTACACATTTCAAGCGGGTAGTTTGTAATTGTGCGTGATCCGTTCGCGGTCGATTTCAAACAGCTTAGACCACTGGTACCCAAACTATGGTCCCCAGGCCAAATCCGGCTCGCAAACATATTTAACACAATACTTAAATGATAGAAGTAAATCTATTTTTTGTTTATACAAAACGCACGAAATATTTGTGGCCCACATACCTATTATTTATGCACAGTTTGGCAAGCTAATCGAAAAATTTGGGAACTACTGCCATAAACAGTCATAGCGAATTTTTACTCTTTGGAAATTATTATTGCCATAATTTACATTTATATTAAGTAACCTGTGAAATAACCTTGTTAAATCTGGGAATTAAAACTATGAAGTGATCCTATCCAATTCTATTTATTTATTTTTTTAAAAATAAGTAATAGTCATCTCTAATATTGTTGTTTCGTGCTTATCAGTAACAGTGAAAATACCAAATGACTTAAGGGAAACTGATTCATTCAAGAATTATCGAATCTGGAGTTAAATATGGAGATGTGAAAGGACCTATTTTAAAAAAAAGACGGAAATATTTTGATTTTAGAGCACATTCTTTCCTTTAGATTAACAAACAAAGATGCAATTTATGTATTTATTTATTAAGTACTAAAAATTGATAATGAGTAAATGTCTGTGGGATTTTTTCGAGGAAGGAAATGTTTCTTAGAAACTATATTTTACTTATCATTAGTAATAAACAATAAAGTTAATTAGTTTATATTGAAAGAGTATTTTCTTTGAGTTTAAATTTTAAATAAATATGGTTTCTCGTTCTAAATATTTACTGTTTGTCGTCTTCTTTATATATGGACAAGAAAGAAATGAATCAATGCAATTAGTCAAATATGATTGATTAAATTAATCATTAGTTTGTCTAAAATGTTTAATATTAATATATATATAAAATTTGGAATAATATTTTCATACAGTTTTAATTTATAATTAATAAGAATTTCAATTTGCATATTTAACTAACAGAATTTGATATCTGAAGAGATTTATAGCTTAATTTCAAGAATGCCAAAGAAGCGAAATGTTAAAAACATTATTATTTGTAAAAACAACGTTTAAAAATAAGCGAATTAAATACTGTAACTTAATAACTAAAAAGTGAATTAGTTGTTAATACTCGTATTAAAGTCCAAATTTACTTTTTCCTTAAACGTTTAATTTAAATAACTTAATAGTTTTGGATTTACTGGTCATAAAAATTTGCACTTTTTTATACGTGATACTTATGAAGTATTATTATTGTAATATATACACGCATATTAGTATAAATGTACTATATATATAGCCTAATATGTAGTATTTATGTAATAAATATAAAACAAGTAGTAATGTATATGAATTTATGGAGCTTTAGGAATATTAACAGTTACTTAATAATAAAATAATAAGATTTTATTATTAAGTAACTTTTTGTTTGACTTTATATATGAAATAATTCATTACTTCTTGGACAAAAACACTTATTCATTACATAATTACGGCTTAAAAAATAACTATTCTAAGAAGGATAACTGTTCTCCCTTAATCATTAGGAGATATTTAAAAGGTCTTTAATTATTCGGGATATTTTAATAATAATAATAATGTTCTAAGCATCATTATTTAATGAAGTTTGAAAATCATCGGAAACAGCAGTTTTTTCATTGCAGAGACGACCTGTTAGTAGATGCTATACCTCTGCAAAAATGCAGTTTAAAAACTTCATCGATTTTAATAAATATAACTTTGTACATTTGTTAAGATCAATATATGAATACTTTCACTGTAAAAGAACAATTCTCATTCAAATAGAACAATATCTGAATTATTGTTATGTAAACTCTGATAAATTGGATCGATCGTATAAAGGGTAACATACGAGCCAAGGGAGAGGTGCCTTCCGGGAAACTTGGTCCTTAAATAGGGGCAAGTTTCCGGATGTTAGACACGTGAAAAAATCCGGGAAACTCCACGTGGTCAGCCAATTAGTTAAGTGGGAACACGCCACAAACTACCAGTGTTCAGTGTCTTTATCCACTCGGCCACTGATGGGACAACTCTAGTAAGTACTGTATATATTTCTTTATGTTTGATTTATTTGTACTATTGATAATACTGTAGTTCTTTAAATTAACTTTTTCTTCCGTTCTCAGATTTGATTCAATTATGGATATGTCTTAGCTTCGTTTGAACGGTTTAAATTCTTCTAAGGCGTTTCATATAATGATTTAAAAGCATATATTTAATTATATATATATATAAGCTACTGCGGAAATTACCATAGGTTCCGCAGTACTTTATTTAGAAATTTGAAAGACAAATCACTTCAATAAAAACTATATTAATCCTTATATTTTTTTTTTAACCGAGTTATTTATGAAATATTCAAAAACATTTTAAAAATTAAATTATTCAGTTATTTAACGTATAAAAAGTCATATTAAAATTACGATTTCTTTATATATAAAAGCACTTAACTAATTTTAAATTTAAATTAAATTTATGCTCTACTTTTTGATTCGAATTAAAAGAGGATTTTACACTTCGATGTATTATATAAAGTATTATTTTAATTCATAAAACTATTTCATTATAATGAAACAGCTGCAAATATTCTAAAGTAAATCGATCCATCTGACCCATTTCTGTGATATTATTACAACTGACCTCAATCATGTTAATGAGAAGTAAGAAGAAATCCTCACAGGAAAATAATTTACAAAAATAATTATTTTACTGTTATTTTTTCATTATTTAAAATACTTATAAATTTCATCAGAAGGTGGCACTAAAAGTGAAAATTTTCCCCCTTCCTTAAGTTGTTTATAGTTTAAATTCTTTTCTGTTTGATAGAGATAAGAAGAAGACATCCGATCGAGAAAAGAAAAATAACGTTAACACGGTTACAGAATAAATTGAATTTTACCTATTTAATTAATTAAATAAAATAAAATTTAATAATTAAAAAAAATAAACAAGTTGAGATTTCTGCTTATCGTTTAAGGTTAAAAAAATATTTGAAAAACTAAATAAATTAAATATAAAAAAAACAAATTAAATTTGCCGCGCTTTTAGAAAATATTTATAAAAGAAATAAAATTAAAAAACAAAATTATTTTACTAATTAAAAAAAAAAAAAAAACGTAATAATTAAAACGAAAAAAGATTACAAAATAGTGACGGATAGATGTCACTTTCCGTTGTAGTTGCGAGTGCTGGGGTTGTAATGGTGGGTGTTTAGTCTGCCGTAGCAACTAGTAATTTTCGTTTCTTATTTCGATTCACGAAATTGACGCTACGCTGGAGCGACTAGAGAATAAAAATAGACCGTATTTTGTAGATCGACAGATAGAGGGACCATTTCCAAGGAAGTCGAGAATGGCTGACGCTAATGCGGGTAAACCCGACGAACCAACTAACAAAGCCCTGTTAGAAGTCGAGGTAAGTCTTCTCTTTGTTATCTCTCTAATATATATTGTTAAAATGACACTAATTTTAAATCATAAAGACGCGTGTTTCTTTATGATTTACACTACGGGAATTTTTAAACGTATCAATCTTTTTATCACGATTTTAAAGTGTTACGAATGGATGTGGTGTGTGTTAATTATACTACAATTTTTTCTTGTTTTGGTTGAAAGGAACCGGTAGTAAAACCAAAAACATGTAAGCCGATGGATGTAAATCTGTATGCCACCAAGAAAAGTGTAGCGCAAGGGATGTTAGATATTGCATTATTAACGTCGAATGCATCTCAGTTGAAATATTTAATGCAAGAACCAAAGAATGCTTCGTACTACATCGCAATCGTATGTCTTTCCATATCCATAACTTTACAGGTACGGTATGGGCTTTTTTTCAAATTCTATTTTTATTAAGATAGAATTCATTTTCGAGTCGTAAATGTACAGAAAAACCGGATCAGTTGTATGTTCTGGTAAGTGAACTGCACCTACTAATTAATGACGAGTTCGTCACGTATATGAATATTATTATTATTATTTTTTTTTTGAGAGTGGAAGTGCGTGAGCGTACAGTAAGAATGATGCAATTGCATAGTTATTTTCTTTATTTTTACCTTTCTTTAAGGAACATAAATGACTTCACTGTTCTATTTAATTAATACCTGTTTTAAGTATCGTTTTAGAACGGATATCCTTCTAAATTAATACCTGTTTTAAGTATCGTTTTAGAAGGATATCCGTTAATATTTATAAAAATTAGTTTCGAAATCTACCATTGCATTTTTAATTGTTATTAATATTAATTCTTGATTTATAATTTATACTTTCAGATTGTAGTAGGGATACTACTATTGTTTAATGCCAAATATAACATCAATAAGACTCATCAACAATCTAGAGCGGAATTAATGAATAATTTAACAACGATCGGAGTTTTTCTGATTACAGTCGTCAACATCCTAGCCTCGTCCTTCTCGGGTTCAAACGAACCATAAACTCTTTTTTCTATTGTACAGGATGTACAGTATTTATCCATCCATTTTGTTAAGATATAAATTCGTGCAAATGTCACTTCATTTTGTTTTTTTTTCAGAATGTTCTTATTTTATAACAAACGAATTTTAAATTTGCCGGCGGCAATTTATGTATAAAAAAAAAATATTTTTTCTTAATCGTCTTGCGGAATGTTTTTTATTAAGAGCTGATCGTAGAACAAACTTAAATATATTTGCTCAAATAAAAACAGTTTTATATTAAAAAATATATTATTTTTTTAAAATATTTTATACACGAATACGAAATTTTGACCCGCGACTAATTTTTTTTTTTCTTTTTTAAACTGACCAAGGTCAAATTCGATAACGTTGTAATCGTTATACGATAATTAGGTTGTAATTACGTCAGTCGTGGTTCTAGAATTAAAATCGGTTGTATTTAAAACTTGATAAACTGGCAATGGTAATTTTTAACTTTTATTTTTAAAATTTGTAATTAAAGTTTGTCAAATCATTCTGTTTAACTAACTAATTACATAAGATTACCAGACAAAAATTAATAGTATTATAAATATCCCAATTCTATAGTTTCTTTAAACAGTTGTATAAATAACTATTTATTAATAACATTTTCTTTTGTAATTTTAAGCTGCAAAAGAGTCTTGAAAGCTCTGAAAAGTATCTAAAATATCTACATTTTTATTTAATACTTTATACGTTAATACTATTGAATACAAAATTAATCATTAGGGATATAATGTAATTATTTCGGAATGAATTTTTAAGACTTCAATAGTTTGTATTATTTATTTCTGAATGCTAGAAAATTAAATTAAGGTTGAAATTTAGATGCTCAGTTTAAACTTTAAACGCTCCCTCCCTCTCTCTCTCTCTAATAGTGCAAAGTAAGTACAGTATATTGCATTATACACACAGGTGTATCACGCTAATACGACAGGTTAGGTTCCAGATTTCCGTAAAGCGAATTACAGCTATTTTTTTTTTCACTTACAAATATACACGAAAGCCTAAAAATCATTAGGGCTATTATTAACTTCGCAATATTACTAGCCTAAAAACGATTCAAAATCAAAAGTAATTAACAAAAATTTTGAAAACTAATTGTTACGGTTGATTTAATTTTTGATTTCTGGAATATTGTAAGGAATGATCTTATCTCTAAGGCAGATAGATTTACATTAAAATATTAATCGGATAAAAAAAACTCTATTACATACAAATGTACGAACAAATGAAAACCCAGCGAAGCGGGTCCTTGCAGCTAGCCTAAAAATGATTCAAAATCAAAAGTAATTAACAAAAATTTTGAAAACTAATTGTTACGGTTGATTTAATTTTTGATTTCTGGAATAGTGTAAGGAATGATCTTATCTCTAAGGCAGATAGATTTACATTAAAATATTAATCGGAGAAACGAAATTCTTCTTGTAATTTATGATAAATATATTTTAATAAAATAACATTAATTAAATTTACATGAAATATAGAAAAGAATTATTAACAATTGCATAATTTGCATATTGATAATTAATGATTATAATAATAATAATTGTTCGATTGTTGATTTTCGATGCAATTATCGAATGCGTTTACAAAAATGTTCATTGAAATGAAAGCAATTTTTAGATTTATTTTATTATTTCTGGCGATTTTTAATGGGATCACCTCTTCTGAAGAATACAGAAGACCATTTACAACGGATAAAGTGTATTTCGGATACAAGAACCGAAATGCAATCAAAGGATTGACGAAATTGAGAGATATCGGAGAATTTTCTTATCCGAGAATGAAGGATGTAAACCGATTCTGGAATATGAAGCNTTTACATGAAATATAGAAAAGAATCATTAACAATTACATAATTTGCATATTAATAATTAATGATTATAATAATAGCAATTGTTCGATTGTTGATTTTCGATGCAATTATCGAATGCGTTTACAAAAATGTTCATTGAGATGAAAGCAAATTTTAGATTTATTTTATTATTTCTGGCGATTTTTAATGGGATCGTCTCTTCTGAAGAATACAGAAGATTATTCACAACGGATAAAGTGTATTTCGGATACAAGAACCGAAATGTAATCAAAGGATTGGCGAAATCGACAGATATCGGAGAATTTTCTTATCCGAGAATGAAGGATGTAAACCGATTCTCGAATATGAAGCCGAGAAACAGAGACGAATCGAATTTGGATGGAATGACACCAAAAGTAAAGGATAAACGAGATAAGAAATTAATGCGTGCCAATGAAGATAAGAGAATCCGTAAGACAATCGATGGTTTTTACAAATTTATAGAAGGAAATAAAAATAGAGAAATTTATAATAATGAAATTATCAAAAATAAAAAGCCCAAAAGAAACAAGAATCTTAAACCAAAGATAAAAAGTTCGTCGCTATCGTCATTCAAACATAATCGATGGCTGCAACAACTCGGACACAAGACGAACGATAAATTCAAACGTAGAAAGGCTAATTGGAAAAAATCAAAGGCCAAGCACAATAGATTCGAGCATCCTCCGCTTTCTTCATCGAACAGGGAAAATATCGACAATGACATCAACGATCTTACAAATCCTGGAATTGGATCGAATGTCGATACAGAAAATGATAATTACGGCATTTATATTTTTGCAGTCGCTTTCGTTTCTCCATTCCTCGTGTTCACTATCTTGGCCATTCTCCTGTGTTTCATTTATTTCATTGTATATCTGTGTAAAAGGAGGAGATATTCAATAACACATTCAGAAATGGAATCTCACGAACGAAGATCGACAAAATCGTTTTCATACGAAAAAAAGGACGATGAAGAACCTTTACTCAAACAAGATACTTCTTTACATCAATCTCCTGAAAGTGACATCAAATCATTGATTTCCGATAAGATTTCAATACGCAGTCAATCTGACAGAAGTAAATATTCTGTCAAGGATCTTGACGACGAATCAGAATTTCATAAATCTTCGACACATTCGAGCATTTCTAACAGATATGCTCCTAATAAAGATTCGAGCGGTGGTGATGATGAAGAGGAGAAAGAGAATGTTTCTCTTTTGACATCTCCGAATGAAACAGAAACCAAAATAGAAATGATTGAGTTGGAGAATGAAAACGAATCCGGACAGGACTCACCCGAACACGTGTTTAAAGACAAGGAAAATAGTAGTAATGAAAGAGAAGAGAATTTAAAAGTGAAGAGTTTCAGGAAGAAGAAAACCAAATGTTTACCTTGTATTAACCTTTAAAATTACTTATAATTCTTGCTAAAAATTAAATAAAAATTATATNTCTGACAGAAGTAAATATTCTGTCAAGGATCTTGACGACGAATCAGAATTTCATAAATCTTCGACACATTCGAGCATTTCTAACAGATATGCTCCTAATAAAGATTCGAGCGGTGGTGATGATGAAGAGGAGAAAGAGAATGTTTCTCTTTTGACATCTTCGAATGAAACAGAAACAGAAACCAAAATAGAAATGATTGAGTTGGAGAATGAAAACGAATCCGGACAGGACTCACCCGAACACGTGTTTAAAGACAAGGAAAATAATAGTAATGGAAGAGAAGAGAATTTAAAAATGAAGAGTTTCAAGAAGAAGAAAACCAAATGTTTACCTTGTATTAACCTTTAAAATTACTTATAATTCTTGCTAAAAATTAAATAAAAATTATATATTTAATTTCTATATTTCATTATTGACATCTGAGAACTAGCAATATAGAAAAAAATTGAAAGCAATTATTTATAGCTTTATATATTGGTATTATGAATTCTACAGCACTCTTCACTATCTTCAAAAATGTTTAAATTAGGAATTTCCCGAAATTCTTATGGATTCTCGCCCTACACTTCTTTAAGAAAGAATTGTAGAGTGAGTCCTCACTTAATTATCATCACTCTGTTATATATTTTGCACTTAATACAAATTAAAACGTATTTAATTTCTAAATTTGTATTGAGACCAGAAGCGTGGAAAGACGTCGCCGGGTCCGAGGGAAATTTACACTGTACTTCTACAATTAATTAGCGCGTAAAAAACAAATTGTGGGATGATGCCCTGGAAATTTTACCTCATCATCTTCTCTTTTGTCATTATCATCTAATAATAATCACTTCTATTTTGGCAAAAATTATAGAAAATTTTTTACAAAAGCTTTTCAAATTGTATAAATAAATTTAAAATTGTTCATCGTTATCAATATGCTTTCAAACAGGGTTTTTCCTAGGGTTGCCACCTGTCCGGGTTTGACCCGGAGACTCCGGGATTGAGTAAGTTATCTCCGGGCTCCGGGTTTAATTAATATTTCTCCGGGTTGTGCAAGTTGAAATGAATATGCACAAAATTATATGCAAACCGTCGCATATATTTCTTTTCCCATGCACCGAATTACTAGTGTGGTAGTCGTTGGCATTAGGCATAGTGCTGCTTTTTTTTGCTTGTACGATTCATTCGTAATCATATACACCTCCAATATCCAATAGAGCTAAGTCACTCGCGTTACTCCTATCCAAGTCTCCCTAGTCGCTAACTGTAACTGATTTAGAACCGGCATGCACTGCAAATTATTCTTCGCATTGCAAAATGACATTGCGCATGCGTCAGGAACTTCTGTTCGAACGAACCTCACCTGCCCTCCGGGTCAGCGACTTTGAAAAGGTGGCAACTCTAGTTTTTCCACGATGGATGCGTTAATGCATCTTAAGCAATTAATTACGTTGCAATTGGATGGATCGAGTTTGGTGATTTCGGTTTTTGTTCATCTCTCTAAAGCGTCTAATCACAGCAAACACACAGATGTTCTTGTCCAGAAAAACTTGAATTTACTCACCTTAATTACGCTCTTTGATAAGGGAAATGAAGAGGCAGCAAGAGTCCTTTTTATTAACTGAAACTAGTTCCAACACGACGACGGTGTTTATTTAATAACTGTTAAAGCACGAATGATCTTAATTGAATTGAAAGATGATAGCTACATAAAGTTTGGAAGTTTTACAAACGAGAAAGATATAGCCTATATCGATTTGTCTGATATTTTGTATTTGTTATTTGGGAGGGAAACTAATTTCTTGTCCGCTTTAATTACGTTTTATATTTAAAATTTCTAAAAAAAATACATGGTTATTTTATTTATTTTGCAATATAAAATAATGAATTTATATCTTTTACATCTGTGCTGAGATCATTACACAACATGATAAAGAAAATAAGTGTGAATGAAAACTTCTTAGCACTCGCACTTACTCGTTTGCCGTTTTATGTTCTAAGATAAATTACATCAGAAAATTATTATTAATTTTATTTTTAATTGTTTTAACATGTCCTTTCAATGTGAAAGCCAAAATTGCTACTTATTATAGTCATACTTACTCATGCCCGATATTTTTCAGCTAGTTGAGCATGAACTTTTAGAATATATCGCCCCATGATAAAGTAATTGTCATGTAATAGTAGTAGTATGCGTTTATGATGGTCGTTATGCGGGGAATAATCCCTTACGGGTAGTCTTTTAAGGGTAACTGATTACTATTCAGTCGTTACAGACGTGAAAAAAACCCGGAAAACTCCACGTCCAAGAAGTTCCGAATCCAACACTGAGTACCAGTCACTCAAGTTTCTATTAGAAGCATTCTATTTCCCCACAAATAAATAAACATAAGTTGCTGTTTTTAGGCTTATTTGAGTACGGCAACGCAACATGTGTGCGATCTACCGACTGGAATGTCTCCTGGGAGAACTTTTTAAGGAAAAACGGCCCCCTGTTCAGGGAAAAAACCCGAAAACTCCATGTGGCCGCCCCGCGCGAACTCACGATTGTTTAGTGGTTTTATCCATTCGGCCACTGGTGGGTTTGCATTTTTATAGTCTGGTACTTATCGATGTAAATAAAATAATCAGCAAATATAGTTTATCTTATTTTTTTGCACCTGTGGTATTTGATAAAATATTTTGACTAAGAGATTTTTTTCGTTTCAATGTATGATTTAACAAACTTCTGCCATCTCCATTTCTATACAAATAACAGCTCTGAAGAGATAACCACGAGGCACTAACAGGGCTGAGGAAAGAGGGGGATGATGAGGTAAAATTTCCTGGGTATCATCCCACAATTTGTTTTTTACGCGCTAATTAATTGTAGAAGTAGAGTGTAAATTTCCCTCGGACCCGGCGACATATCTCCACGCTTCTGGTCTCAATACAAATTTAGAAATTAAATGCGTTTTAATTAGTATTAAGTGCAAAATATATAACGTGAGGACTCACTCTACAATTCTTTCTTGAAGAAGTGTAGGGCGCAGAGTCGGCCCTACCATAGGGCGAATGGAGCAGCCGCTCCAGGCACTAAGTCCTAGTAGGCGCCTCAGTGGTAAAGAAAATTAGAGGGTATAAATTATGGGCAACCAAGGGGGGCGCCGTAATAAAATCTCGCTCCATCCTAAAACTTGCCTCGGGCGGGCACTGGATGTAGGGACCGGGAATCGAGTGTGAACGGGTCGAAAAATTTCCAGGAATTTTTCTGGGGATCTTCATCACCCAGCCACTTAATTGTGGGCCTGGCTGAATCCATAATGGGCTTGCTTAATGAGGCTTTCTTAGTGCCCATAGAGCGAAAAGAGTTTATAAAAAAAAAGCCTGGAACACTGGAAGCTGGTTCCGGAATTTTCTTCGTATGTCTAACATTTAAATAAGGGCCAGTTTCCTATAAAAATCTTTCCAAGAGTCACCTTCTTGGCATATACTCACGTGTCGCGTTGCCTTTTCTCATCAATTCAACTAAAACCCCCAGTTATCTCAGAGCGGCAGAAATATGACTTACCATTCGATTTTAATTTATTAGACTTATTAATACGAGGACCAAATATAGAATTCGTATACCAGGTTAATATTCATATAAGTGTTTATATTTCATCTCTCAACTACGTATTCCATCGAATTGTGAAATCAGAACTTATAATAAAGAAAATGTGTTGATGCCTCGCATTGACCGTTTAATCATCCGAACATCCGCAAATTTTGTTATTCTCTAACGATGAAACTCATTTTGATATTTCATAAGATAAACTGTCAAGAAATTAATGAACGATAATCCCATTAGAAAATTTATTTAATTCTTTTAAAATAATTATTAAAATGGATTATGAAACCAAATCAACAATTATTGAATGCAATTTTTTCAATTCTTTCCATCTCGTAGGCACCACGAGGACCTGTTTTAGCAATCCCCGTATGGGTTCGGACATGCTTACAATGAGGCGGCCGGGTGGCGAAGGACTTGAATACAATGGTTAAACAATTTTCGATTTTGTATCCACAAAAATGTTCTTCTGTTTCAAGTCGAATATTCGAATAATTAACTTTACATTTATAAACCTATGTGTTAAATTTGATTTTTTTTTTTAAAAAAAAACTTTAATTGTACACTCGTGCCAAATCACTGAGAACTTATTTAAGTAGTTTTACATATAAAAGTGTCTATATTTAGAGATAAGTTTCCTTTACTGATAACTCTGCTAACCATTTTATGAAATCCATTTTATGAATTTAAGAACTTGAATCTCAAAATACGCTATAATTTATGTCAACGTAAATTCAAAACATAAATAAAATTTAATAAAATAAGTAACGGTTTGTATTTTAAAATATCAAATTTACTTTATAAATAATTAAATTTTATAAAAACTTTAAATAAAAAATATAATAATAAGTATAAAATATTAACGCTGTTTTAAAACTGCCATACATCGGTTTTTAATACGTCATCTTTATTTTACTCACTTTTGATATAAATTTATCAATGATGCTGTCAAACTACTATTTAATTTAAAATAATTTTATTATTATTATTATTATTAATAAATTATGCTAAAATTAAATAAATAATATTACGATGTTGTTTACATTACACCGGAAATTACGTCATTAAACGGTCTGCCTCAATTTGATACGAATTTTTCATGCATGTCATTAGAGGTATGAAATATTGTCTGATCCAAATAATTATAAATTGGATTATTCACATTCACAAAGTTTATGTTAAATTATCTTAAAATGATAGTAAGAATTTAATTCCAGTTAAATAATAATAATTTACATAATTAAAAAATTAATTTGCATATACAGATGTTTTGTTATTGACACTTATAATAATTTTAACGTAATGATTTTTCTATGTGAAATTTATTTAACATGTGTATCTTTTATATTGTTTAAACAGAAATTTAAATTCAGTTTCTAATATGCATTTTACATATAATTCTAATTACTGTACTGTACCTAAAATCTGTAGCATTTAATTCCAAGATGTTGAATATGACAATCTGATATGTATATAAAAAGTTTTGTTTAAAAACATTTTATATTCTAAAAAGATAACTTTTTATAAATATTATATTTCCTTGATTAAACATGGTTTTTTTTTTATTTTAAAAATGACACCCCAATACTGGTTAATATTAATCCAAGAGCCATTTCTTCACAAAACCAATGAACCAGCAATAGAAAAGAACTAATCACTTTGAGATGCGAACATTTTTGTCCATTTGTAAAAGGACACCCTTGGGCTGGTGTTCTAAAATTCGAAATCACAAGTTTATGATTCGTTCCAAATATGCGCAGTTCGAATTTTAGAACGCCAACCCGAGGATGTTCTTTTAAAAATAGACAAAAACATTTTCTTCTCAAAGTGAGTAGTTCTTTTCTATTGCTGGTTCATTGATTTTGTGAAACTACAGGTTTTATTTTTAAAACATAATGTCCTCCAGGGTTATTTAAAGATCTGAAGCTTTTTTTTGAAGTGGGGTTTTACACTTTGTAACAAGAGACAAATGGGTAAAAATTGAAATACCTTAATTATATGTGCATTGACCAAACTATCAAAATCATTTATTGACTATTTGGTATAGCCCTGAACTTTGGAATAGAAAGTTCTGTCTGATTCCAGACAATTTGAAGAGGTAGAGTTTTAGTTAAACTCCAAATCTAAACTATGAGGTGTCCCATAAGTCTGCACTTAAAGGTGTATGCAGTGAAAATTCACAGCATTCAGCATCTTAAAGAATCTATTGTGCAAGTGTGTCAGCAAATTTTGCTGAATGTGATCTATCATGCACTGGAGGAGTGGAAATTTTATCTTCACCAATGTATGTTACACAGTGGCAGACACTTTGAGCAGATTTCGTAATTATATGTTTTTTCCTTGGGTAGGTCCAGACTTATGGGACAGCCTATACAGTACAGTACTTCAACATGTTTTTCATGCTTTTCAGCCTGGAGTTTATTTGAATCCTAGGGTTTAATTGAGGAAATATGGTTTATAGAATACTGAAATTGTAAAAAAAACTATAACTTAATAAATATATGTTTTGTTATGTTCTGTGTCATATATAAATTTATGTCATTTTTATGTTTTTCCTATTACTATTAAATTAAAAATTAATCTTCATTATATATTCTGTATGTATCTGTATACATAAACTTCAACAGAAATCATTTTTGTAAGATGATAATTCAATTTTACAATTATGTAATTAAAAATTTCATATTAGCTTCATAAATATCTTGCATATAATTCCTTCATTAAGTATATGTAATTAATTATAAATATTTTATTTATATAAATGATAGAATTAAAAAGTAATGTATTTTACAAAATTGGCAGGGAATTACAGTAATACGTAGTACAATCCAAAAGTTCGGGGACTTGGCATAAAATTCCTTACCCTAAAAAGTTTATATAGCCGATGCACAACCACCTTCAAACTATTTACCTTGGGTGATGATACACTTTTTCCAGCGGTCGTATAACTTCTGGAAGCACTGCTGAAAGCCATTTTTTGAAACCTCCCGTAAGGCCTCCTGCGATGCTGCTCTCACCTCATCTAATGACACAAAACGGCATTAAATAAATAACACCACGTTTCATCATCTGTTATGATGTGGTTCAAAAATGATGGATTCTTATTGGCTTTGTCGATTAAATCATCCGATATTCTCATTCGTTCTTCCTTTTGTTCAGAAGTCAAAAGTCGAGGGACAATGTGCTGAGACACTCGGTGCATGTTAAGATCTTTCGTTAAAATATGCTGGCAACTAGTCTTTGATAAGTGAGTAGCTGCAGCGATTTTTTCAAGAGTTTGGTAACGATCTTTGCGAACACATTGACAGACTAACTCAACATTTTCCTCGTTCTGTGAAGTCGAAGGGCGGCCAGAGCGTTCATCGTCTGCAATGGGATTCTCGTCCCGTTTTAAATTGCTGATGCTATTCGTACACCTTCGATTTCGCCATGGTAGAATCACTGTACACCTTTCTTAACAATTTTAAAGTCTCCGTAGGTGTTTTACCTAAACGCTGACAAAATTTAATGTTGCAGCGCTGTTCTTAAAACTTCATTTTTATTACGTCACAGAACAAAGGTAACTATCTCCGGAAGAAAACAGCAGCGCTCGCGATTTAATTACGTGACATGGGCGAAATAAACCTGAACACGTAGGACTGGTTTGATAGAATCCATTTCATACGCTGTAACTTCAAATACATGCTTTTGTTGTCATAGATTACTGCAGTCCCCAAACTTTTGGATCATACCACGTATGTAGTAGTCAAGATTGGAGGATTATATTTTACACTGATTTGTGATTTAATATTAAATACTAATTATTAAAGATGGAAATTACTTGATCAAAGAAAGTTTTGATTGATTATATTTTGTTTGTTATAGTTTTGCTTATACTATTTAATATCTGTTCCAGAAATTTATAGAATGAATATCTTTTTATCTTTCAAGTTTTTTTTTATTTTTACAAGTTTGTTATAAATTTGTAGTAATATCTATATAAATTTATTATAGTAATATGCATTTAAAAGATTATACTATATAGCCAATTTATGTTATAATAGAACTAAATAAAACATTTTATTTTGATAATATATTTTGACTGTTTTAATACATATTTAATTTATATATAGTAATTAAATGTTAAGGAATATGTTATCAAATATTTAAGTTATGCATTCCATTTATGCTTTTATTAAAATCATAGATGTCAATTTAATGTTAAACAATTTATGGTGTATCCAAATAATGCTTGAATTGAAAAGAAATATAAGAAAATAAAGTTTTTGTTAAATTATTTAAACAAGACATTAACCTTAATAAAAGTTTAAAAAGAAAAGTCCTTTTATTAAAATTATGTCTGTGCAAAATGATTCTGTTGGCTGGTTATATACAGGTACTCCTCACTTTACAACCTATCTGCTTAACAACCACTTGCACTTACGACCAATTGAGTTTCAACCTGCAATTCGGGAAATCCCCTTTCTCAGCTTGAGTGTTGATCAGTGGCGATTGGTGACCTGCTCATTGAGAGTAGTACAGGCTTGCTATGCACTTTTTTAGTCCGTATGATGTAATTTAAACAATTGCAGGCCTTGCCAATGCGCTTAATTTAGATATTGAAGTGGAAGACATTGCTGAATTAGTGGATTATGCTGATGGAGAGCTAACAAATGAAGATTTAATAGAGTTAGAAGCCATGCAGTATTTGGAAGAGGAAGAAGATGAAAGAACTGAAGAAGTGAAAAAGAAATTCACGGCACATGGGTTAGCTGGCGTGTTCTCCAAAATTAATGCGGCTATGTTGGAACTTGAGGCTATGGATCCAAATACTGAATGTTTTAACATAAAATTGAATGTGGGATGAGTGAACTTTTGAAGTGTTATAGAGAAATTTATCAAGAAAAAAAGATTACAATGCAAACCACAGTTACGAGTTTCTTTTTGACTGTTACATTTAAGGCCTCTGTCCTTGAAGGTATAACTTCTATTTCATCGTCGTCATTGCCCTTACCTGGGGAAAAAATCTCTACATCTCCAGATAACCGAATAAACAAATGGTAATATGTACATATGCATGTCTTTTTATGAATAAATTTGAAGTTTGTTGCATAATTTTTATAATTTTACAACGATCCTATATTCCCAACGCAAGCTCCTCGCTTATCGACCAATTTGCTTAACGAAGTAGTCGTCAGAACAGAACTCAGTCGTAAAGTGAGGAGTATCTGTATTGAAAATACATAGTTTTGATATAATAATGATTCATAGAATTGGCAAGTGCCAAATCCGACAGAGGGCACTGTTTTTGAGCCAAGATGGCTGCCGAAACCGGTAAGGAACCAACCACGTGTTTGTTCAGTGCCTGAGCCAATTCAGTTTCCATCGGTGATGACTACTGCAAAGACCAAATGGAGAATAAATCATTGAATTTATGTCAAATTCTAGACTATATCAGTGACAGGAAATGTTGTCTTGTAGAAGGTGAAGCCATTTTGAATGCTGGACACATTGTATTTTGTGGATTAAACTCTAACAACAACACTGAAGTTCATGTTGTTGCTTTAGTGTTGCAATCTCAGATATTGACATTTTAATACATCTCAATTACAGGGAGAATGCACATGCAAAGCGGGGCTGTCTGTTTTTGTAAACATGTGATAGCATTTTTATTACACATTAACAGGTGAGAATTATTTAAATATTTTAAGCAGTATACACCATGTTCCAATATAAAAACATAGTTTTATTTATCATAATAGTTAAAATTAGTGCCAATCTGAAGGCTGCCCTGCTGAGTCATTCAGCACTTATACAATATAGGACAGTCAAAAGTTTATAGCACACATTATGTTTTGTGTGTGTCTGTACGTCTCATATATCCAAAACAGCTTCACCTTCTACAAGACAACGTTTCCTGTTGCTGATATAGTCTAGAATTTGACATAAATTCAATGATTTGTTCTCCATTTGGTCTTTGCAGTAGTCGTGACTGATAGAAACTGAATCGGCTCAGGCACTGACCAAACACGTGATCGGTTCCTTACCTGTTTTGGCAGCCGTCTTGGCTCAAAAACAGCACCCTCTGTCGGATTTGGCGCTTGCCAATTATTAAAAATGCTAATTTTCTTGTTTACACAATTATTTTAAGGAATATTGTGACATAACATAAGATTATTTAAAAATTTCCTTGTTTTTAAATGTTTTCAATTTGACTACTATATAGTATTCATAATTCCATCTTCAGAACTATTCCACATAATAAACTAAAATTATAATTTATATTAAAAAGTTTTGTAATAGACAAAGTTTAATAGATTCAAATTTTTAATTTGTTATCATTGTTTGATATCATTCTGTTCAGTATGATTTATAACTGTATTTCCTTGATTCTAAGAGACTATTTTATATTTATTTTGACTTATCCGAAAATGAAATGATGTCTTACATTTGTGTTCCAAAACATTAAGAAGTACAAAACCTGATGATGACTAATTAAGTCAGTATAAAAGTTCATTACAGTATGTGCTTGTAAAATGATTGTCTCTTTTTAATATGCGATGTAACTACCATAGTTGTTTACCAAGTTGAAATAACAATTAGTTATCATAGTTTGATATGCAGCAATAATAGATGTTTTTAGTTGTATTACTGAATGGTTACACAGTTCAAATGAGCTTTTTTAGTAACAAGTGTTGAACTTACACTTGTTTTAATGTTTAAAATAACTTTAAAGTGACATTATGATGCAACATTAAAACAAAATACAGGTAGCACTCAGTTTATGACGCAGTTTTGTTCTACAAAAGCCGGCACTAGGGATTGTATACTGATTTACCGATTTACCGGTTAACTGATAAATTGACAAAAAAAAAACATTCGGTAAACTTACTGGTAAATGAAAAATCCATACTAGAAATTTCTATGTAGAAAATATTGTGTTTATAGATATTTAAAAGGGCTAAAGGGACATTGAAAAAAAAAAAAAAAAAACAGGTAAGTATAAGCAATAATATACATCATTATTAATTTTATGTGAGATATTTTTTGTTTAACTTTAATTTAATGACCATTCGTCCAACAAGTGTTGAATCAGAAAGGGTATTCTTCGGATCTGGATTATTTTGTACAAAAATTAGATCAAAATTAGGAGATAAGACTATAAATAATTTAAGTTTCTTGAGAAGTTAATTTTAAAAAATGGTAATCAATAAAATGGTATTAGGTACTATATATTATTTCTGTTGTATTTTTATTTTTCTGTATTTTATTTTTGTTTATTTCTAGGAGTAGTAAAAACGTATTGAGGTTGGATGTCACGCCAACTTTTATTTTAATTAAAGCTTCTTCAAAAACTTCAGACACTAAGGCGTTAAACACAATTAAAATATTTTATTCTTGCGAGCGCTTTCGACGTAAATTGATTTGCCTGAGGACGACGTGCATATTTACGTCGAAAGCGCTCGCAAGAATAAAATATTTTAATTGTGTTTAACGCCTTAGTGTCTGAAGTTTTTGAAGAAGCTTTAATTTTGTTTATTTCTATATTTATTATTATAGTTTGCTTAGAATAACACTTTAATTTTTATATTTTTTATATATGATATCTTTGAAATAAAAAATGTGAAATGGAAATCATAATGACTTATATTTTTTATTACCTTAATTTTATTTTTGAAGAAAAAAATTACCAGTAATTTACCAGTAAACCGGTATTTTAATTTTCATTTACCGAATTACCGGTAAATGAAAAAGTAGGTAAATTTACAATCCCTAGCTGGCACAAATCAAATTGGCGTAAAATGAACCCATATTTACACTGAGGTATAGGGTTAGGTTCTACATAAGTGAAAAATACACAAATAATTTTGTTTATTAATACAATATACAAATAAATTTAATTTTTTAAATGTATTTTATCATAAAATAAAGTGAAANCATAAAATGAACCCATATTTACACTGAGGTATAGGGTTAGGTTCTACATAAGTGAAAAATACACAAATAATTTTGTTTATTAATACAATATACAAATAAATTTAATTTTTTAAATGTATTTTATCATAAAATAAAGTGAAATGTTTTTTATTGAAAAATTTTAGTTTCGGATCTCTTACATTTTTCGGAAAAAGTATCCATCTTTAATTGTTTACATTTTTGTTTTTTTTCGTTGAGAATTTCGGAATATGGTCGAATGGATGCAATGATGCCCTTTTTTACATTCGCACTTTGTTCCCAATCATTGTCTAACTCACAAAGTTCATCTGTCAAACTTTCCATAGTTGAAAGGATATTGACAGCTGGATGGCCGAGTGGCAAGGTGGCAGCCTACCACTCTGGGTGACCCGGAATCGAATCTGGACGGGTTGAAGAATCCCCAGGAATTTTTCAGGGGGTGGTCCGTTCGGATATGTCGGGCCCCATCCCTTACCACCCGGTCACCCCATTGTGGGCCTGGCCGAACCCATAATGGGCCTGCTATAAGAGGCCCTCTCAGTGCCCACAAAGCAGAAAGAGTAAAAAAAAAAAAAGAAAGAAAGAAAGAAAAAAGTTGAAAGGCTACGTTACAGACAAGCGGAGACACTGATTGGTCGACCACTGGTTGCCATAGTGCATATATAAGGTCAGTTTTAGTGGGAAAATTGAAGGTGGCTAAGGAGAGATAGATATCTGACTGACAAGAAGTAGATATCGTCTGGCTAATAAAAAAGTATCATCTGGCCAATGAGAAGTAGATTTGTCTCACTAATGATAGTTTGCGATCGCCAGAGGTGCTACTGCGTCATAAGGTGTTTTCCTGAACAAACTGATATGGGATACATTCATTGGCGCTATGGATTTAGACTCCATTTATTGGACTATTAAGTTTAATAACTTGACTTGTGGGTACCTAAACGTTTAGTATTTTAATATTAATGTAATGCAAATGTATACATACGCAATAATAATAAACAGAAAAAATAAATATATTCAATAGAAATCTTTGTTTTGATGAATGTACAATGTCGTGGCTTGGTACGTCAACACTGAATCAGTCTGGCATAGGGAAAATTGGGGAATTACACTGCGAAACAGCAAATTGCGCAGCGGCGTTATTGTGAATTGGCGTAAATTGAGCCAGCATAAATCGAGGGCTACCTGTATTGAGAAGGGCAGAAATAGACTAAAAGTTTGAATAAAAAGCTCATTTCCTGGATGATATAAGTAAATTTAACTTAATGTCAAACTAACATATATTTTTACAAGATATATAGTTTTAATATTATTATTTAAATAATTTATTATTGAAAAAATATTTTACAGATAGTCCTGAACTTTTGAACAAACTTACTCCTTTATACATAGTATTTTGATACCTCTAATTTTCCTTTGAAATGTTAAATTCACATTTTTGTCTTGTTATCATAATATAAATTTTAAGCTATCTTGTGGTGGCACTTTCTGTCAGTTTTGACTTTGGTAACATCAAAATTACATATGAAAATAAATTTTTACTGTTTGTCTTTTGTTTAATATATGGTTTTTATTGATAACAGTTTAAATAATAATGTTTTATGCATTGTAATATATTCACTGTAAAGTAAAATTTTCCTTCCTAATATTAATAGATGATTTTATAATTTTTGTTTTTAGCCTTCTGAGAATAGAATTTTTTAACATGCAACGCTGATATTCTGCATTCAGGTAGGGATTACCTATATTTGAAATATATACCAAAAATTAGATAATTTTGAACTTTTACAAAAACATTTTTCAAACTATTGTTGAACTTCTGGTTGAAAGAATTCATCTTCATTATTTCCATAGGATCTTCTTTGGGGAGATTGCCCACTGTTGTCTAAGACTCCAAACATACCAAAATTTACATATAATTTATCTTTAATGGTCACCTCAAACAAATTAGCCTTTTTAAAAAATTAATCTTTCTACCTATAAAAAATTATCATTAATTACTTTCAAATTAAAAAATGTCTTTTCATAAAGATAGGCTTACTTTTCAAATTTATTATATTCTATAGTAGAAAGTTACATATTAGCAAATTATTGTTTTATGAATATTTTTCATATTTTATTTCTACCAAATATAGCATTTTAAAAGAGTATATGAGTGCAACTCCCTGTTTTATTTAAAGATAAAAATAATAATAAAGATAACATAACATAGATTAAAAAAATAATGTGAAAAGAGCCATATACAATACAATTATTTTGTATTTAAACTAGACACAATGTTAATGAGAAATGATTTTGTCCAGTCATTTTTTTTATTCGATATAAAATTATATTAATAAATTATTGCATTAACTACAGATTATAATATAAATATTCTAATGACTAATATTTTGTTATGTTATGAATTTTATCATCATTACATTCAATGTTTGTTTGTTTAAAAAACATTTTACATTTCCACAGCATTGTTAGAATTTGATGCAAGAAAAATAGCAATGAAATGAAATTTGATGTTTCAGTTTTAATTTAACTCAACTCTTTTATTGGTTTAACTCTGCAATGAATTGACTTTTTAATCCATGTAATGATTTATTTTAATATTTAATAAATTAAATGTAATTTTGTTCATTTTTTAATATATTATGTGATTGATTTATCTAATAAATATAAACTGTAAAGATTTATTTTCAGAATAAATAGTATAATCTTTTGTAAAACATAAATTTTTGAGTTTAGTTATATTTAAATAAACTATAGGTATAAAAACTATATTTTGTAGGACCTTATCTATATATATAAAAATGAATGTATGTCTGTCTGTGTGTCTGTCTTATGTCCTTCATGCATTACCACACCGTTTATCCGATTGCCATGAAACTTTGGGAAGTTGTTTAATATACTCCGGCGAAGGTTTGTGGCATAGTACGTTTGCTATAAAACTTCGGAAAGTTTTTTAATACACTCCCACGAAGGTTTTTGGCATAGTACATTTATCCTACGATAGATGGCGCGCGTTTACACGAGCATCCGAGCACAGTGTGTTCGATCGATTTCAAATTGTGAAGACCATTTCCCCCTTCAAAAAATATTTCTATATATGCATTTGTGAACTGTTATTTACGATATTTGTAATAATTTTTGTTTAATCACTTTATTTCAACTTTTTTTTGCTAATTATGTATTCGCTCGAACTTCGTTAAAACCTTAACTGTACCCCGAACAACAACCGAAGTTGTAGGAAGAAATTCGCGTATTTTACCGATCTAGGTATCCCCCTTTTCCAAATTTTAATATCGACTCAAAATAATTTAAAAAGACAAATTACAATAAAACGGTTTATTATCCAACTATCAGAAATTTCACAACATGCCAAGGAAGAGAGGAAGGAGCAATTAAATAATTAAAATTATAAAGGATTAAAAAATATATATATAAAAATGGGGAATATCGCACTTCTGACAATCGCTGCGAGTGTATGGGCTAAATTTGGAGAATCCGTGCTTCTCGCATGGACAACTGTATGTGGCCGGCTCACGCGTCGGAAAACCTTCCGATTTATTCGTGTACGCACCAGACGGAAAAACAAAAAATATCGTGTATCCACAAACACTCCAATAAATAAATAGAATTGAAACGACACTTTGAAATGTTTTCCCGATGAAAATGAATAATAATAATAAGTTTCAATAAAAATAATAAAATGTAAATTGAATTTTATCATAACGAGTTTGCTTGAATTTCCTTTCTTCTGAGATCGCAGCAATGCGTGACGGGTAAGCTAGTGTACTATAAATTCTACATTTACTGTACATTCATTTAGTTAACCATAAAATTTCACTTGATTATTAAGAATTATTTTATTGATAAAGTTATAAAAATTGTATAAAATACTAATAAGTAAGATCAACACATTTATCAAATAACAATGTTGTATGTTCAGAAAGAATATTTTAAGATTAAATGATCTATTTTAAAGATATTTTTACAAAAAAATTTATGGTGGTATAGAGTTTATTTTATAAGCGATAAAGTAAGATACAGTTTTCTTCATTGGCTGTTTCATTGTTTTTCAATTATTTATGAATTACATTATTTTGGAATTTTAATGGATTTAAATAAAAATGTTTTCTTTCACACATTTTAAAAATGATTTTAATACAGTCTTTTACATATGTATCTAATACAGTATTTTAATATGAATTCCATGTTGTACGAGTCACCTAGATTTTACAAATACGTGAGCCGTTCACAGCCCGGTACACATATTTGTAAAATCTAAGTGACTCATACAACATGGAATTCATATAAAATGGAATTATCAACAGTGTTATAGGGGGTTGACTGTATATCATCTTAGATATAATTATTATTAATTCATTAACAATGAGCATAAATTTATGAATATTTTAATTTACATATTAANATATATAGTTTTAATATTATTATTTAAATAATTTATTATTGAAAAAATATTTTACAGATAGTCCTGAACTTTTGAACAAACTTACTCCTTTATACATAGTATTTTGATACCTCTAATTTTCCTTTGAAATGTTAAATTCACATTTTTGTCTTGTTATCATAATATAAATTTTAAGCTATCTTGTGGTGGCACTTTCTGTCAGTTTTGACTTTGGTAACATCAAAATTACATATGAAAATAAATTTTTACTGTTTGTCTTTTGTTTAATATATGGTTTTTATTGATAACAGTTTAAATAATAATGTTTTATGCATTGTAATATATTCACTGTAAAGTAAAATTTTCCTTCCTAATATTAATAGATGATTTTATAATTTTTGTTTTTAGCCTTCTGAGAATAGAATTTTTTAACATGCAACGCTGATATTCTGCATTCAGGTAGGGATTACCTATATTTGAAATATATACCAAAAATTAGATAATTTTGAACTTTTACAAAAACATTTTTCAAACTATTGTTGAACTTCTGGTTGAAAGAATTCATCTTCATTATTTCCATAGGATCTTCTTTGGGGAGATTGCCCACTGTTGTCTAAGACTCCAAACATACCAAAATTTACATATAATTTATCTTTAATGGTCACCTCAAACAAATTAGCCTTTTTAAAAAATTAATCTTTCTACCTATAAAAAATTATCATTAATTACTTTCAAATTAAAAAATGTCTTTTCATAAAGATAGGCTTACTTTTCAAATTTATTATATTCTATAGTAGAAAGTTACATATTAGCAAATTATTGTTTTATGAATATTTTTCATATTTTATTTCTACCAAATATAGCATTTTAAAAGAGTATATGAGTGCAACTCCCTGTTTTATTTAAAGATAAAAATAATAATAAAGATAACATAACATAGATTAAAAAAATAATGTGAAAAGAGCCATATACAATACAATTATTTTGTATTTAAACTAGACACAATGTTAATGAGAAATGATTTTGTCCAGTCATTTTTTTTATTCGATATAAAATTATATTAATAAATTATTGCATTAACTACAGATTATAATATAAATATTCTAATGACTAATATTTTGTTATGTTATGAATTTTATCATCATTACATTCAATGTTTGTTTGTTTAAAAAACATTTTACATTTCCACAGCATTGTTAGAATTTGATGCAAGAAAAATAGCAATGAAATGAAATTTGATGTTTCAGTTTTAATTTAACTCAACTCTTTTATTGGTTTAACTCTGCAATGAATTGACTTTTTAATCCATGTAATGATTTATTTTAATATTTAATAAATTAAATGTAATTTTGTTCATTTTTTAATATATTATGTGATTGATTTATCTAATAAATATAAACTGTAAAGATTTATTTTCAGAATAAATAGTATAATCTTTTGTAAAACATAAATTTTTGAGTTTAGTTATATTTAAATAAACTATAGGTATAAAAACTATATTTTGTAGGACCTTATCTATATATATAAAAATGAATGTATGTCTGTCTGTGTGTCTGTCTTATGTCCTTCATGCATTACCACACCGTTTATCCGATTGCCATGAAACTTTGGGAAGTTGTTTAATATACTCCGGCGAAGGTTTGTGGCATAGTACGTTTGCTATAAAACTTCGGAAAGTTTTTTAATACACTCCCACGAAGGTTTTTGGCATAGTACATTTATCCTACGATAGATGGCGCGCGTTTACACGAGCATCCGAGCACAGTGTGTTCGATCGATTTCAAATTGTGAAGACCATTTCCCCCTTCAAAAAATATTTCTATATATGCATTTGTGAACTGTTATTTACGATATTTGTAATAATTTTTGTTTAATCACTTTATTTCAACTTTTTTTTGCTAATTATGTATTCGCTCGAACTTCGTTAAAACCTTAACTGTACCCCGAACAACAACCGAAGTTGTAGGAAGAAATTCGCGTATTTTACCGATCTAGGTATCCCCCTTTTCCAAATTTTAATATCGACTCAAAATAATTTAAAAAGACAAATTACAATAAAACGGTTTATTATCCAACTATCAGAAATTTCACAACATGCCAAGGAAGAGAGGAAGGAGCAATTAAATAATTAAAATTATAAAGGATTAAAAAATATATATATAAAAATGGGGAATATCGCACTTCTGACAATCGCTGCGAGTGTATGGGCTAAATTTGGAGAATCCGTGCTTCTCGCATGGACAACTGTATGTGGCCGGCTCACGCGTCGGAAAACCTTCCGATTTATTCGTGTACGCACCAGACGGAAAAACAAAAAATATCGTGTATCCACAAACACTCCAATAAATAAATAGAATTGAAACGACACTTTGAAATGTTTTCCCGATGAAAATGAATAATAATAATAAGTTTCAATAAAAATAATAAAATGTAAATTGAATTTTATCATAACGAGTTTGCTTGAATTTCCTTTCTTCTGAGATCGCAGCAATGCGTGACGGGTAAGCTAGTGTACTATAAATTCTACATTTACTGTACATTCATTTAGTTAACCATAAAATTTCACTTGATTATTAAGAATTATTTTATTGATAAAGTTATAAAAATTGTATAAAATACTAATAAGTAAGATCAACACATTTATCAAATAACAATGTTGTATGTTCAGAAAGAATATTTTAAGATTAAATGATCTATTTTAAAGATATTTTTACAAAAAAATTTATGGTGGTATAGAGTTTATTTTATAAGCGATAAAGTAAGATACAGTTTTCTTCATTGGCTGTTTCATTGTTTTTCAATTATTTATGAATTACATTATTTTGGAATTTTAATGGATTTAAATAAAAATGTTTTCTTTCACACATTTTAAAAATGATTTTAATACAGTCTTTTACATATGTATCTAATACAGTATTTTAATATGAATTCCATGTTGTACGAGTCACCTAGATTTTACAAATACGTGAGCCGTTCACAGCCCGGTACACATATTTGTAAAATCTAAGTGACTCATACAACATGGAATTCATATAAAATGGAATTATCAACAGTGTTATAGGGGGTTGACTGTATATCATCTTAGATATAATTATTATTAATTCATTAACAATGAGCATAAATTTATGAATATTTTAATTTACATATTAATAAATTCAAAATTTACTTTATGATTAAGTAATCTGCAATCTTTTTTTTACAGTAAGAAAATAAAAGATATGTGTACAATCTCCCTTGGTTCAAGAATATTTTGTGATGGTGAATATGGAACTGTCTTGTATGTTGGAAAAGTAGAATCTTTTCATGGTAAGATTTAATTCAATTAAAATATATTCCATTTTATACAAAATAATTCATACATAAAATATAATTTTAACCCTTTTTTTAAAACTAAATATTGTTTGTTTATTTTTTAAAGTTATTAATTTAGTTTCTTTTTTCTTGTTACATAGTTTAAAAAAATATATATGATATTAACATACAGTATATTTTAAGGCATATTACTATGGAAAAAATTATTATATAGATGGTTGTCAATATAGCATTATAAGCCAAGTGGGAAAAGCAATTTATTCATTTTATGCTTTAACATATTAAACAAACAGATATATATTGATTGAGTTTATATATCTTTTATTGATAAATTTTGATATTAAAATTAATATAAAAATAACATATTAAGAAGTTTTGGATTTATTGTTTAATAGGTATTTGGTTAGGCATAGAATGGGATAATCCAGAACGAGGCAAACATGATGGGAGTTATAATGGTGTTAACTACTTTAAAACAAGGTAAATTGTAAAATAACTTTTAAGTTTTAAAATAAGAATGAAAAGGAATGTAATTTGAAATGAAAAATTAAAATTACAGAAGTCTAAAAGGTGGTTCATTTATCCGTCCTGAAAAAGCTAAGATTGGAAGACCTTGTCCTGATGCAATTTTAGAAAGATATTGTAGCAGTAATGAAAATGTATTAGATGAAAATAATCTGTTACTTCCTCAAAAGTATGGTAAGAAAAGAATGATAGAATTTGTAGGTTTGGAGAAGATTACAACTAAACAGAGGTATTTAAGTTTTTAAAAATATTGTTCTATATAAAATTTGAATAGTTACATTTATTACTTTGTATTGTTATTTTGAAATTTTATTTTATTAATTTCCTTACTTGTAATACATTGATTACTTTGAATTTTATATTTGAATCTATCCTTTTCATTAATTTACATTTTGTATTCCTAACTCTGATGTATTTATTATGTAATTAGCCAAAAATGTTTGTTTATATTAAAACTTTTACTAATTCAATAATGTGGGAATTAACTGTCAATTGTAGACTAAAATTTACATTATAGTTATTACAGAAATTGCTTTTAGCCCTAAGTATAATTAAATTAATTAAAATATCTATAACCATGAGGCAGATAATAGTAAGGGCTTATCACACTAATGATAATGGGCACAAACGCTCAAGAATCAAAGTAAAAACATTTAATAAAACAAAACGGGATGTACAATAAGATGATTACATAAGTATAAAAACCGTAAAAATCCAAAATGCATTTTGGACTATTTTCCAATAGAAAAATAGTCCCTCATTAGTTGGTATTAACGAGAGGTCTTAGTATACTTAGAAATTATACAAGGTGAAAAAATTAAATTTAAAATTAAATTTAAAACTATGCCTAAAGCTATACAATATAAAGATGAAAACATCACTATGACTGTATGAGCAGTAAGCATTATCAATGTAGACAGGAGTAATATTTCTTCCTAACGTTGCATGGTAACGTGACGAACAGGGTGCTGATACAAAAATAGTTATGAGTTAGCCGAAATATTGGTTAACAGTTCTGAACTAATGTTATACAGTCAGTTTAAATTATATACGTACCAAAAAACAGTAGGACAACAGAGTTGCAGGTTCGGATATTTCTACAAGATGAAAGGAGCGATTACAAAGGAGGTGTGTTACCTAACACATCTGGAGCACAAGTGGTGACAACATATGATGCAGTCAGATGTCATTGTGAGATTAGCTGAGGATACTAACCAAGAATACCACTTACACGACTCAGAATCACAAGATTCAATTTCTAATCTTTTTCTAGGAGGGCTGTTAATGTTTAAACAATCTAGAGGATTAATTCTAGATCTAGTCAGGATTCCTTGACACCAGTTAATCAGTTATTTTAAACGCGGATTAACACGCATTATTCTTAAACTCAGGATTCGGAGGAACTAAGGAAACTTGAATGTCTAATAAGAACCAAGCCATTTTATAAAACAAATCAAAATATTTAATAAATCAAATAATAAAATATACAAGGAATGAATCTAATCTATATCTTAATCTAACTTAATCTATCTTATTTCTAACCTAATGTGTGAGTTACATCGATCTATTTAGAGCTTACATCAATCTATTTAGAGCTTATATTACCTTCACTGTATTTTTTGTATCTGTTTCTGTATGAGGATCTTCTTCTTTTTTTCTTTATATTCTTCTCCTTTGACAATCTTGTCATATATTTACTTCAATTAATCGGTCATAGTATGGCCTTGTCAGTCTTGTATGACGATCACTTGTATCGTATTCACTTTGTATGGCAATACCTCTTCCTATCGGACTGCCTCTTAACGTAGTTCAGGTTCTTCGTATGGCAAACCTTGTTTGACGGACTGCTTCTGTCATATGGCTAGTTCTCTTCTTTAATATGGCAAACCTCTTTTTGTCGGACTGCCTTGAAAGGCGGGAAAACGGCCCTTTTATTTGGTCTTCTGTAACGTGCAAAAACTCTACTCATCCTGAGTTAGCCTGGGAAAGGAAATCAACTTCCTTTCAAAAATTCTGATGTTTTCTCCAGTTTTAGATAAAATCTTGTTGAAGTTGAAAATATTATTTTCTATTATTTTAAATCTTTTCTCCAACTTATTATTTTGATTAAAATTATCCTCCCCTGAACATTCAATCTCACATCATTGTTAATTTTATCTATTTCACCCTTTAATAGATGAGGGCCCATGTACAAATATACATTATAGTGTTCATTTTTTAATAATATTTTTTAATATTTATATCAGATTTTCATTTTTAAGAATTTTTTTTGTTTGCAATTATTTATTTTTTTATTGTTTTTATAAAATTGTTTGGTCATTTTTTAAAAACATTTTACTATCAGAATACTCTTTAATGGTCAAGCATTGAAGAATATATTGATTGTACTAGATTAATATAAAACAAATAATCACATTTATTAAATATGATTTCAATTAATAGAAGCTTAGATAAGTTGAGATATTGTGAAGAAAAAAAATTAAATTTTTATAAAATGTAACATTCTAATTATACATTTTCCTCTAAAATATCATAAAAAACATGAAATTTATATAATGCAAATTTTGCAACATTTTTCAAAGAAATGGAATTGCTAAATTACAATCTTGTTATAGTATTTTTCAAACTAAATTCAGTGGAACCTCTGTATATGACCTTAATCCGTTCCTGGTGTTTGGACTTATACCGAATAGGACGTNAGTTAGCCGAAATATTGGTTAACAGTTCTGAACTAATGTTATACAGTCAGTTTAAATTATATACATACCAAAAAACAGTAGGACAACAGAGTTGCAGGTTCGGATATTTCTACAAGATGAAAGGAGCGATTACAAAGGAGGTGTGTTACCTAACACATCTGGAGCACAAGTGGTGACAACATATGATGCAGTCAGATGTCATTGTGAGATTAGCTGAGGATACTAACCAAGAATACCACTTACACGACTCAGAATCACAAGATTCAATTTCTAATCTTTTTCTAGGAGGGCTGTTAATGTTTAAACAATCTAGAGGATTAATTCTAGATCTAGTCAGGATTCCTTGACACCAGTTAATCAGTTATTTTAAACGCGGATTAACACGCATTATTCTTAAACTCAGGATTCGGAGGAACTAAGGAAACTTGAATGTCTAATAAGAACCAAGCCATTTTATAAAACAAATCAAAATATTTAATAAATCAAATAATAAAATATACAAGGAATGAATCTAATCTATATCTTAATCTAACTTAATCTATCTTATTTCTAACCTAATGTGTGAGTTACATCGATCTATTTAGAGCTTACATCAATCTATTTAGAGCTTATATTACCTTCACTGTATTTTTTGTATCTGTTTCTGTATGAGGATCTTCTTCTTTTTTTCTTTATATTCTTCTCCTTTGACAATCTTGTCATATATTTACTTCAATTAATCGGTCATAGTATGGCCTTGTCAGTCTTGTATGACGATCACTTGTATCGTATTCACTTTGTATGGCAATACCTCTTCCTATCGGACTGCCTCTTAACGTAGTTCAGGTTCTTCGTATGGCAAACCTTGTTTGACGGACTGCTTCTGTCATATGGCTAGTTCTCTTCTTTAATATGGCAAACCTCTTTTTGTCGGACTGCCTTGAAAGGCGGGAAAACGGCCCTTTTATTTGGTCTTCTGTAACGTGCAAAAACTCTACTCATCCTGAGTTAGCCTGGGAAAGGAAATCAACTTCCTTTCAAAAATTCTGATGTTTTCTCCAGTTTTAGATAAAATCTTGTTGAAGTTGAAAATATTATTTTCTATTATTTTAAATCTTTTCTCCAACTTATTATTTTGATTAAAATTATCCTCCCCTGAACATTCAATCTCACATCATTGTTAATTTTATCTATTTCACCCTTTAATAGATGAGGGCCCATGTACAAATATACATTATAGTGTTCATTTTTTAATAATATTTTTTAATATTTATATCAGATTTTCATTTTTAAGAATTTTTTTTGTTTGCAATTATTTATTTTTTTATTGTTTTTATAAAATTGTTTGGTCATTTTTTAAAAATATTTTACTATCAGAATACTCTTTAATGGTCAAGCATTGAAGAATATATTGATTGTACTAGATTAATATAAAACAAATAATCACATTTATTAAATATGATTTCAATTAATAGAAGCTTAGATAAGTTGAGATATTGTGAAGAAAAAAAATTAAATTTTTATAAAATGTAACATTCTAATTATACATTTTCCTCTAAAATACCATAAAAAACATGAAATTTATATAATGCAAATTTTGCAACATTTTTCAAAGAAATGGAATTGCTAAATTACAATCTTGTTATAGTATTTTTCAAACTAAATTCAGTGGAACCTCTGTATATGACCTTAATCCGTTCCTGGTGTTTGGACTTATACCGAATAGGACGTTTACCAAACCAACCTTTTCCATAAGAAGTAATGTAAAAATGATTAATCCGTTCTCATGTAAAAAAAATAACTGGCTTTAAACACCTCGCTTTCCTGGCTAGTTTCTGCTTGATTTTTCATGAGAGCAGCATGTATCCTTTTAACTTTCTCGCAAATAATTTCTTCCGATACGCTGTCGCCGGCACATTGTTTTTCAGTTATCCAAAGCAAAAGCAATTTCTCGACATGATCTAATGTCTTCGATCTTTGTTTAGAAATTTGATTTAACCCCTTTTGCAACATTAGCAAATTTAATAATGTCTTTATTTTTCACGATTGTCGATATTGTCGTTCTCGGAATACGGAATGCAACAGTTAAATCTCGAACACGCGTGCCACCTTCATATTTCTCAACAATCTCTTTTTTCAGTTTCGTTGTGATTCTAGTCATTTTTTTATTTTTCTGTTGCCCTTTGGCAATTCATGATTAATCAAAATAATAAAATGTTACTTACAAATTAAAATCAGAAGAAATTTAACAAAGTTATAAACTATGGCACCGCGAACGTCTAGTCTAGTGTAGTACACCGATAATGCTAATTGTTCATAGATGGCAAGTATAATTGAATTAAGTTGTATACCGAATAAAAGTCGTATACCGAGCAAAATTTGTTTCGTCCAAACAGGACGTATTCCGAATTGGACGTATTCTAAAGCAGACGTATACCGAGGTTCCACTGTATTAGTGTCATTAGAGTTGGCTTTTGTTTACAGATATGAATTTATCAGATGAAAAAACAAAATAATGATATTTAGTTACTTGTTAGGTAAAAGCATAAAGCTTTAATTACTTTTTGGGAGAACTCAATTTTAGATTTTATAAGATTCAATTGTAGACTGTTATCCATTAAATATTTATCCAAAAGATCAATTGATGCCTGTAACTACTCCGCAGAATCAGCCACAATTATCACATTATCTGCATATGCTAATTTCTTTACATTGACACCATCAACATTAATACCTTCCACTCCAGAATCGTTAATACAATTTAATAAATCATTTAAAAATAAACTAAAAGGAATGGGACTCAAAATTCATCCCTGTCTAACACCCTTGTCAGTGATTCTGCCATTTAATACTAACATTTGAGCCACTATATAACTCCACAAGCAGGAATACAAATTTAAAACTTAATCTATAATTTAATGCTTTCCTCCATAATAAATTTCTGTCAACAGTATCAAATGCTGATATCAAATCTACAAAAATGCATATACTTTATGCTGTTTCCTCCTTAATGTTTTAGCAATAATAACATACCAAATGAAAATATTATCAGCAGTTGAATAACCTGCATGAAAACCAGCCTGATTCTCTAACAGAATATCTCTCATATTCAACCAACTTATTTACCTCTAATACAAAATGCTACAAAAAATTTTTGAAACACAGTACAACAATGAAATACTTCTATAATTTTTAGGCACCAACTTTGAACCATTCTTATGTACTTGAACCAATAAAGAACTTTTCCACTCTTCCAGGATACCACCAGTCCTAAACACCTTATTATAATTATCTAATAAAAAAGAAATTAGCAGTTTCAATTTTCCAAAAATCTATAAGTATACCAACTATTTCCAATGTGCTACCAACTCTTGACTTACTTAAAACATATCTTAATTCTTGCTCTGAAATATTTGAGCCCAGTATTTCATTAAATTATTCAAGTAAACCAATATTTACCACAACCAAATTTCTACTTCCTTTACATAAATTCCAAAATAGCCTATTATTTCTGTAAAAGTTCCTAGTATTTTGTATCTTCTTACAAAACTCCTTCTTCTTTGCTTAACATAGTCTCTTTACTATACTTCAGTACAGAACAAAGATTCTGAGCTGCCAAACGGTTTTTCTTAAACTCTAATCATGGTCTGTTTCTAGCTTTAGTCATTAAATGACAATCCAAATCAAACCAGTCATCTATTCCCAGTTTTTTTAGTCCTGTGATTTAATCCATATTCTCTAGCAATCTCCATTATGACCTTACTCAACTCCAGCAGGGATATATTTGAAGTCTGCTCCAGGCAGTAGTCCAAATCAGCCAAAAACATCTCTACCAGGTCACTTTCTCAAAAAATCTTCTCATAACAACTACCAGTACTACTCAAAGAATCTCTAGAAAAATCTTCCAGTTAGAGAACCAGTGGACAATGATTGGGACCAAAAGCAATTCTCAATACTAAAAAATTTAATAAAATTCCACACACAAGGGGTAATTATTCCCAAATAAATTACTGAAGACCTTCAGTTAAACTCAAAAGTATACTCTCCTGCTTCATCACCATATAACAGTATCTTTGTACTGTAGTGATACAATATAATTATATACATGTATTAAATAATGTATATCATAAATTTGTTTGAAAATATAGTACAGTAATACCCTGAACTTGTGTGATAGTTGGGACCGAGCGGTAACCGCGTAAGTCGAATTCGCGTAAGTCTGGGTATAATTTTGTATATAAATACATACAAATTATTTTTAATTGGGGCCGGAGACTAAAGAAAACAATAATTTAGAAAAAAATGTTTAATAAAATCTTAGATAATACATATGTATAACAAATTAGGCCTATATTATTTTACAATTTTTCACATTTACTTGATTGTTACGCCATAATTTTAACATTGTTTCCATCTCAGCGATAATACTGTGACGTTTACGAATGATGCTTGAATTTAAAGATTGAGCATTTTTCACAGCTTCGAGAATTTTTTCTTTGCCTTATATAATTGTTCTGACTGACAATTCCGGTAGATCAAACTTCTTTGCCAATTCACAAATTTTCATTTTTGTATCGAAGTCTGTAATAATGGGTACATTCGTAAAGTCAAATGAGTTAAATGCGTTAGTAACGAATCGTTTGAAAAGTCTAACAAAATAGGAATAACGATGACGTCATTCTCGTTTAACTCGTTCGACTTTACGAACATACCAATGTTAATTTTACATTCCAAAGATAAAATGTTTCTTTTCTTGTTTGATGCAGAAGAATTAGTTATACTTCGTTTGGATGACATAGTAGAGTCTCTCAAGTCTCCGTAGATATAACAAACACAAAAATAAATAACACAAAATAAATTGTAGCTATGTGTGGATTCCGTGCGACACATCCGAACATGTAAGCTGAACAATAGTGTGGGGGGAGTGAGTAATCAAGGGTTGTGTGGCGCTCAAACAAAAGATGAATCGACGTGATTTGAAAATTGCGTAACTCCGGGTTCGCGTAAGTTGGGGTATTACTGTATATAGTGCTGTTGGTTACTAGTTTTCATGGCAACCAATAGCAAGGGGACTGGTGCCAGTCTGCAAATCATCATTCTTAATGTCCCTGCTGGATATTCTAGATTAATAATTTATGAAGTCTGATCAAAAAACTATATATACATCTATTAGAAAGTATTATATTAGCTGTTTTGTAAATTTGACTTAATTGCCCTAAAATTATTCATTCATTTGAAAAGTTTTGAGAAGTATTGATCTAGTTTACCTATATTATCTAATTTATGCTGTTTAGATATATTATCTTGGTAATAAATATATTATTTATAAACCGACAAGCTTAGTGAATCACTTTAGTTAATTGATCAAATGCTACTTAGTTTCAATTTAATAAACTGTTCATTAGCATCATATTATTTTTTTTTATATATTTATAGTTGCTTTAAATTAAATAATAGTAAAATAATTGTTTTTATATTTTCAGCCAGCTTCATCAGATTGAAACTGTTGATTTATCTTCAATGCTTGTTAATGGACCTGGTCAACCAGGAGCATTATCTAATTTAATTCCAAATGTGACAAGTATGATTCTTTCCCAAAATCTTTTTACATCTTGGAATATGATTGCTGATATTACAATTCAGTTACCACATCTAACAGTTCTGAATATTAGGTAAAATATCTAAATATTTTTTATTACATAAACTTTGTAATTCACTTAATACATTTGTAAAAATGCATAAAAAAAGCCAAATTGTTTATTTTGTCTTTATTAGTTGAGAGAGCTCTGAGTATTTGCTTTTCTGACTAATTGTCTGACTAATTGGAGAAAATTAGAGGATATATATATATATAATTAGAGAATTATATATAATTCTCTAATTTTTCTCCATAGAGGATTATATATACAATAGTATTTCCTTATAATGAACCTGTATACATTGTTGGAATTGGTTTGTTATACCAGATAAGAAATAAAACTTAGTCTAATTTTGAAAAACTAAAGTTTAATGTCTCAAAGATAAAATGTAACAAATTATTATATAGGAAGTTGCCCATTAAAACATCACCATAAATGTACATGGTTACTTAAAAAACTGATATTTTTGATTGTTTATTTTTGCTAATTGCATAACATTCTGTAATATATAGTTCCACCAAAGCAAAACTATTAAAAATATTTTGTGGAGTATTATGGATTTGTTAAAAATTCTTGAATAGCAATAGTGTTTTGCAAAATTTCAAAAACTGGTGTTATTGGAATGTCAACACAGTCTGTATATGTTGTTTTGTTTCTTCATTCTCACTAATTTCATTATTTTTAGAAGACACTGAAGCTATAATATTGCCATTGGTCAAAAGTTCCCTACTAATAACATTGTCACCAACTTTGACATATTCTTCAAAATTGTAGTCAGAAAATGCATCTGGTAACTGCAGAGGGAGTGCATGAACACCTTTTGTTTCATCATTTATAAATTCACTTTTCAAAAGTTTGTTGATCAGAATGTTGCCATCTAAACCATTAGTTTGTAGAAAGCCAATGTGTCAAACAATTTGCTATTGTTTGCATTGATACATTTTACCATGCCATATGGATAAGGCTTATTACATCAAAAAGATTTATAGAAAACAATTCTCTGCTATTATCTACAGAAGTTCTACAGAAGATTATCTACAGAAGAAGAAAGAAGAATTCACTGATAGCTGCTCTTTAAGATGTGTATAATCCCTTGATCTAAAGGCTGTAGTTTTGAACTTGTATAGGGCAGCATAAACACCAGTTTAATGCAATGTAATTGATGTATGAATGCACTGGGAAGTTATCAATCAATAATAAAATTTTTTGTTTCTTTCTTTTCAGTTCTTCATCCCTTTCTTGTAGTTCACTACAAAAAATATCAGAGGTCATCCAAGCTGTTCAGTTAGATTTGTAGTTTACTGGTGGCCATCAATTTTTGAAACATCTTGGATTTTTTTGATTTACTGATTACTAACAATTTTCTCTTCCTTTCCCATAAGATTTATATTTATATTGCTATTCAAGAATTTTTAACAAACACATAATACTCCACAAAATATTTTTAATAGTTTTGCTTTGGTGGAACTATATATTACAGAATGTTATGCAATTAGCAAAAATAAACAATCAAAAATATCAGTTTTTTAAGTAACCATGTACATTTATGTTGATGTTTTAATGGGCAACTACCTATATAATAATTTGTTACAATTTTATCTTTGAGACATTAAACTTTAGTTTTTCAAAATTAGACTAAGTTTTATTTCTTATCTGGTATAACAAACCAATTAGAATAGTAATTCTGTCTTTAGATAATTATTTTCCTGCACAGTTTTCTTCTTTGAATTTTAGCATCCTATTTGGTTTAAGCTTATAAAAAAGACTTATTTCATCTGCATTAAAGATATCACAATCTTGGAAAATTTCTCTAATTTTTGGCCACTTATTTTGCAACCAATCTTCTACCACATCCATATTTACTTCAACTGCTTCTCCAACAATTTTTTGGCTTCCAATACTATGTCTTTTTTAAATCTCAATCAAACTTCTACTGCATTTAAACTCATTACTCTTTTCCAATTTACTTCCTAACTCTTCTACTTTTGACTGTGATATAGCACCACTAATAATTGTGATTTTTAAATTTCTGTGGAGCAAACTATTTTAACAATCTTCGATCTAATTCATCACATGCAGATTTTCTAAGCTGTTTAACATTGAAATTATTACATTCAAAACTCACAAATATTTTGTCTTTTTCCTTCCAAATAGTAACAATTGTCAATTTAGTTATATTTATTTCTGGAAACAAAAAAGGCTCTTAAGTTGAATGAGGTTGTTATTAGTTTTACTTTCCAGTCTAATTTGTTGTGAAGTTATTTCTCAGTATATTTATTTCTTTACATAATTTGCTTCGCTTTATGCATTGATACATTTTGCCATGCCATATGGACAAGGTTTATTACATCAAAAAGATTTATAGAAAACAATTCTCTGCTATTAAACCTTTTAATAATTTCATATTTATTACATAACATAAATGACTTCAGAGTCGTCATATTTCACAAGGACATATGCACAGTACTTAGTAATTCTGATTTAGCAAATGGCAAGAGTTGATATGCCTCAAGATTACATGCAGTTTGTTATTCTTTATAACCAACATCAGTGAATGGAATTTTTCTAATCAGTAACAGCATAAATTTTAAATTTTTTGATGGTTTTGTTTTGAAATTCAAAATTGAAATACTGTATTTACAGTTGAGCTTTTCTAGCCAATCAAAAGTATACTTTCAATTTTCAAACTTTAAATGGTCAGGAAATTGAAAATAATTTAACTGTTAATAACAGGTCAAAAATAACATTTTAAAATTTAAATTACAGCACTAACAAATGAAAATCCTTGACAGTGTAAATATCTAAGTTCATTGTTAACCCCTTCATTCCCGATCATTAATTTAATTGGTACTTGATTAATATTAAAATACATTAAAAATACTTAAAACTGAAAAAACACGAAATTAATTTTGAAGAAAAAGCTTTAAATTTTATTTTCCTTTGTTTCGCCTTTCTGTGAAATTTAACACCGATGAGTCATTGTTTACACAGCTGGGTGACCTTGAACACAGCTGGAGTCGGTTTCCTGAGACATTCTCATAGACGTCTCGGGAGGACAAGGGTTTAAAGTAGGGTGACTATAAGCGACACGGAAATTTTTAAATATTTTTAAAAAATTCAAACTTTTATTGCGATTTCCGACCCCCCCTAATTAATTAATTATATATTTATAAAAATATATTAATTAAAAAAATTAAAAAACCATCGGAGGTCGTTTTTGACATCAGAAACTAACTTTAAATAACTTTACTGAATGAAAATCCGTGCGCTACAACTTAAAAACCATGAAATAATTTTGATAAAAAACTCCCATTAAAAAACAATTAAGCCTTAATCGAGCCTTCACATAGGCTCATTAAAATCGCGATAAAATTTTTTTGCGCGGGAAAAAAATTTTGAAAAAATTTGCGGACCTAAAAAACATTCCAAAAATTCAAAAAAAAAAATTTTTTTTTAAATGGCCTTTTAATGGGCTGGTAGATGAATCTCAGAAAATACTTTAAGTGAAGTAAGAAAACTGGTACAAAGAGAGTATAAAGATTTAAATTTGTGACAAAAATTAGATAAATAAATGTGTGCATTGAAATTTGTTAGTTAAAAGCAAAAATACCTAAATTGAGCAACATTTTCCATAATAGGTCATTTTATGTCCTGACTCCTTGCCTTTTGTTTAAGGTAGGATGCATCTTAAAACAATGAAATTAAAGTTAAGGTATTTGTTGTCATTTTTTAATATTCTTGAAATTTTAAAGAATGACAACAAATACCTTAACAATAATTTTCTAGAAAGAGCAAGCAAATGTAGAGAAGAACATACAGAATATAAATAAAAAATATTCAGAATTTGAATTTTTGCAGCTAAACAAAAAGGAAATTATACACAGACTAGTTGATAGAAAAATGTCTCATAAAATAGTGGTCTTAAAGCCCATACTTTTAAGAAATACAATATTTTCTAAAAGGATGAGCTTTTGATCAACATATTTTGATAGTTAAAAGTTCATTGTAAAGAGGGAAAGTAATCTAGTTTTCTTTTGAAAATTGTACATTTTATCATTTTATATTTAGTTCTAATTATCATCCTTTTTTTCCAAAAATCTTATTTTAAAAGTGAGAGAGTATTTTAAAATCTAAATTATATTATATATATAATATAATTTAGATTTTATCAATATTATATAGAGTTACATACTCTGAAACTAGAAAAGATGAATGCTTTAGATTTTGTAGTAATTTTAATTTTCATATTTTTAATGGATTTGTAATTTTTTTATAATTTTAGTACAGTTTACAAACAAATTTGTAAACTGTATTAAACTAATTCTGATCCTAAATTCTAAGTTGTTATCTACTTTGATATGTAAACATATGCATTACATGTAAACAAGAAAAATTGATTTTATAGCATTTTTTTTTTTTTGTTGAAAGATAATATAAGTGTGTTGATAAAATTTCAAGAAAGCCCAGAAGGGGTCAGCAGTCAAAAAATTTGAGCACCCTTGATTTAGTAGCACCTTTCTTAACAAGTATTGAAATAAATTGTTTAATGTGAGTCAATAAACAAAATAATGAGTAAATGAAGAATAACTGAAAAATATATGAAATAGTTTTTTAATTTATTTTTATAAATTATTGACTTCTTGAAAATTAGAAAGAATTTTAAAGAAATCAGTTTATTACAAATTAATCAATTGATTTCTTACAAAGTAATCAATAAATTTGTTAAAGTATGCATAAAATGTCCTCACACGTTATTAAGCAAATGACAAGGAAAATTAAAGAAATTAAATAGGATTATATTACATTAAATATATATTCAATCATTTTATTGTAATAAGATAATCTTGTTACAGGGGGTATTAACAAAAATAACAAGGATATTTATTTAAATTTTGTTACATTAGATTAATGTTACATAACATATTTACTATTCAATAATCAAGACCATTGTTCAGCTTATTTAAAATATAAATAAAAAAATCTATGAATCTTATACATCTTGCATATTGGTATATTGTCAAGATTAGATCGAA